CGGCAGTCAAACAGCAAGAGCTGCGGCCACATCGAATCCACTGTCCCACCACAGTTTCGATCAAAGCTTCGTGTGAATGAAACTGTGCTGGGAATGGAAGTAGCAACATGCAAAAACATGGTGTCGACGCTGTTAAGGGGCCGTGTGCTGTCTCCATTTTTTCGGTTTTGTGTGTTCTTCTTGTCATTGTGATTGTGAACCGGGTGGGGGGGGGTGGGGGTGGGGGTGGGGGGGGATGTTAACGTTCTTTGCGACTGCAAGGTTCTCTTGCACTTCCACACATACGTCATGCTACGCTACTGCTAGTTTCTCTTGCACATTCACACATACGTCATGCTACGCTACTGCTAGTTTCTCTTGCACATTCACACAAACGTCATGCTACGCTACTGCTAGGTTTCTCTTGCACATTCACACAAACGTCATGCTACGCTACTGCTAGGTTTCTCTTGCACTTCCACACATACGTCATGCGACGCTACTGCTAGGTTTCTCTTGCACTTCCACACATACGTCATGCGACGCTACTGCTAGTTTTTCTCGCACATTCACACATATGTCATGCTACGCTACTGCTAGTTTCTCTTGCACATTCACACATACGTCATGCGACGCTACTGCTAGCCCCTCTTGCACATTCACACATATGTCATGCTACGCTACTGCTAGGTTTCTCTTGCACTTCCACACATACGTCATGCGACGCTACTGCTAGGTTCTCTTGCACATTCACACATATGTCATGCTACGCTACTGCTAGTTTCTCTTGCGCATTCACACATACGTCATGCTACGCTACTGCTAGTTTCTCTTGCACATTCACATACACGTCGTGCTACGCTACTGCTAGTTTCTCTTGCACATTCACACATACGTTATGCTACGCTACTGCTAGTTTCTCTTGCACATTCGCACATACGTCGTGCTACGCTACTGCTAGGTTTCTCTTGCACTTCCACACATACGTCATGCGACGCTACTGCTAGGTTTCTCTTGCACATTCACACATACGTCATGCTACGCTACTGCTAGGTTTCTCTTGCACTCACAAATACGTCATGCTACGCTACTGCTAGTTTCTCTTGCGCATTCACACATACGTCGTGCTACGCTACTGCTAGTTTCTCTTGCACTTCCACACATACGTCATGCGACGCTACTGCTAGGTTTCTCTTACGTCAATATTCATGTCACACAAAGTTTCGGAAACAAGGGTTGTCATTAAAAAATGCCATTTTATGTGGTAAAACGCTCAAAAATCAATATTTTCGGTGAACACTACGTGGTTTTAAGCTCATTGAAAGCACCATGATATGATGAAAATGTTGAAAAACCCTCACGAAATTGAAATTGAACACTTATGATGGAATGTCGATCTTACACCACTGCACGGCCTCTTATCAACGCCGTTACCAAAAACATGGATGTAGAAACCCACAGTTTGGCTACAGCTGTACACCAACCATCCGCCTCGGTGGTAGCAATACCCATGGCACCGCTGCCCATGGTGTCGTCTGGCTCCTCCTTCGCCTTCGTCTGCATCATGGATGACCTCTCAAGTCAAGCTGACCAAATGACAGATGTGTCAAACCATAACCTCTCCACACTAGTCTACTAGCGTTGGCAATCACATGCAATCACAGAAAAAATAATTCAGCGTGACCGAAGTGGGATTTCAGTAGATTCAAATATTTTACTTGTCTATCTTTTTCGGGTTTGGCGTTTCTTGCGACCCAGCAACTTGAACACTTTCCTTCGATGCTCGTTGCGGCGCACATGTGCAGTGAGGCCCTTTCCTCAGGGCTGGGTTCATGCCCAATGGGACGAGGAAACTCTGAAACGGCTTTGTTTCAATGGTGTTGACAGTGTTGACAGTGTTGACACCATTAAGTTATGAAACAGTTCCTAGATGAAAACATCCCCAGCAAATTTCTCCAACAAAATCACCAGCCACATCCCACAGTCCCAAAGTCCCAAAATGGTCCAGGCGTCGTGTGCTCACCAGCTTGGGTGCTTCGCCTTTGCTGGGGAAACTTCGGAGACTCACCGCATCCTGCACCAGCGAAGTGGTCTCTCCCACGGCTGCAGTGATCGCAGCCGAAGCCAACTCTGCGAAAAATGCCAGGAATTCGGAGAGCATCGAACCCAGCTGGGTCAAAATGCTGAAGGGAGGAACCACCTGGAATCATTGAGAGCGACAATAACATCAAATGACGAAATATAGTATATTCATATTATTTCATATTATATATTCACACTATATATGAACATCCTAGATTATTACGATATATATATATACACATAATAACATAAAGACATTTACAAACATCATCCCTTTCTGCTTTAGACTCATGTAGACTCCAAAGGTCCTACAAGCGCTACAAGGACCATCAAGCACCATGGTACCTGGAGCAAGGTCTCTCCGATGGTAACGGCCACGCACTTGAAGATGTCGAAAGGTGCTCCGCCGCTGCCTTTGATCGTCAGACATGCGACAAACTCAACGCAGAGCCTGGAAATCCTCTCCTCGGATCCTACGTGAGCCTAGGGACCTACCTCGAGATTTCAAGGGTGAGAAAAATCTCCCCGCCTGAAGGTCCCTTAGCATCCCTTAGCATCCCTTGTACCTGACCTAATCTTACCTAATCTTACCAATGATTTGCCCACGTTCTATCCTACTGGTGTGCAAATGCGTGCAAGTTGCTGATGCAATTCACCAAATTGGAACCCATGGCCACCATGGCTGCAATGGGCGCTGGGAAAGGCACAGTGAGTGTTCCCCAGTTGAAGTCGAACAACGTCAAACGTTGCCCAACCAATACCACCTGGCGGAGCACTTCCAGCACTTTCAGCACTTTCACATGCGTTGCATAGTTCATCATAATTCCATGGGGTCCATAGGGTCCATAGTGTCCATAGTGTCCATAGTGTCCATAGGGTCCATAGTGTCCATAGTGTCCATAGTGTCCATAGTGTCCATAGTGTCCATGAGGCAAAGAAATGCCTTAGAACTAGCAATCTGCATGAGCTGCTGCGCATCATGCCTCGCACATTTGTCGTCCGAAGCCAATGGTGATGTCAGTGTTGCTGACACCCAGGGAAGGCCAAACCCAATGAGGACAGCCAGCACTGAAGTCGAAGCCGTTGATCAAAATGGCCACTGCCTAATGAAAAACAGAAACCGAGAGAAGCCGTTTGTCAGGTCTCTGATGTCGGCACGCTCTGATGGAAATGACGACACGATCGACACTTGCGCGGAAGCTCCAGCCTGCTCCACAGTGTTGATCACAGTATTTGCCACGAAGGACACCTCAAAATGAAATCCACCACAGTTATGACAGTTATCATGGAGTTGTGATGAAATCTAGAAGACACACCACGAGAAGAAAAATCGGCAGTGCAGCATCGTACTCACCTGTAGTTTCATGGCAAGTAATACGAGTAGCACGTGCTTCTATCATTTCCATCATGCTGGCAATGGACAAAACCCCTTGACCAGCAACGTTTGGTCCTACAACGTGCCGCATAAAACATGCCTGCTTCGGAAAATACAAACATCACAAATATCACAAATATCACAAATGAATAATATCAGATAAATATCACAAACATCCCAAATCACATTCAGGTTCTTTTCCTTCAAAACTGACCACGGCACCTTGTCAGCTGCCTGGTTGTAGGCATCAGTCAGTGCATCTCCAATCAAACCGGTGCCATCCGTCACCGCGCCGGCAACAGCATTGGCTCCATCCACCACTGCACCCCCCACATCCGTGGCTGCATCAACAACGTCATCGACGATCGGGATTCCCTAGGCTAAATTAGATGCAAAAAAACGGACATGGACGCAAACATGAGGAAAAAAAATGAAAAAAAAAGAAAATTCAAAAAATGTTTCTGCGCAGGTGTTCTCCAGCTGGCCATTCATCTATGATTTTTTCACCCATGAATTCAGATGAATCCATAGTCTATGCATGTCCATGCGAACCATTGAATACTCGTTGCGTTATGTCCAGATCTGCAGGTAGCTGGTGCTGTAATGGTGCTGTGGTGCTGTACTTTGTCACATCCCATGGCATCCTGGCATTCCGCCTTCGCAGACACCGTGCTGTCCAACTCCGCGCTGCGGCGCTGCAGCAGCGCTTCGGAGCTGCTCGTGGCCGACGAATTGGACGAACGCGCGGCTTTCGGAGCCGGTCGATGCCAGTCCTGTCGACGTCGACACGTCGACATGTCGACACACTGAACATACTGAACCGGGTCTGAACCGGGTCGCATTGGTTCTAATGATTCTATATAATATGTTCGAATTGGATTTAATTCAAGGCAGAATCAGGGTAGAAATTTAAATATGGAGTGCTGCTAGACTGTGAGGGAATCCCACAGAGCTCAGCATGTCTCCTTGGTGTCACTTTGCCGATGGTGTTTCAGCAACACATCCTGAGGAAATGGACGTAGAAATGGACGTAGAAATGGACGTAGAAATGGACGTAGAAATGTCTGAATATAAACGAAAGTCAACAAACATGGACGATCATGGAAGCATAAAAAATCACACACGCGAAACACTTCTCGAGAGTCAACAGGGCCGTGCAGAACTTGCACAGCTGATATCCCCATTTCCAATTTCCAAGAGTCTTTCAGCACCTCATGTGCCTTTTGACCCATACGCCTTGGAAACAGCGCAAAGCACAGAGTTCACCAAGGACAGAGTGTCAAATGGACTCAATTTACACAGTAGAAACGGATATGAATAACATTTGAATAACAATAATAAGAATTCTGATCATCCAGCACAAAAAATGCCGCCGAGCAACGTTTCATGTTCTTTTTGCCTTCGAGGTGCCGCAGCCATCCAGGCCTTATAACGTTTATTGCCAGCCACTGGCTCAGGTTCCTGTGAGCGATTTGGTTTCACTGCTTGCCACTGGTTACACATGCCATGAAACATTGGTCAAAACATTGGTCAACACATTGGTCAACCATCACCCAAAACCGATCCAAAGCGATCAAGCACTGCCAGTCCTCCAGTTCGCCCTCGCCATGTTTGGATGTCGACTGATGATGCGATAATTTGGCGCTCAGCTGTTGATACTGAGCTTCCTTGTGGTCCAATTTGTCCTTAGCGCTTCGGTTTCTTTTGATTTGAGGAGCGTGCAAACGTGCCAGTCAACACAGGGACAATGTTTTCAAACAAGTCTCATAGACATTCATATGTTACATCTCTGTATGTATTGCACGGCACCCCCCCAAAAAAAAAGTACATGCCACTAATAGATCAATTCCAAACATGTCCAAACCTTTGTTTTGTTGGCGGATACAACACGTGAATGTTCCTCGATGCCTTCCCGCCTCCAGCTGCTGGATCTTCACCAGTGCCGTATCCAAAGCCTGCTTCGAAATTCTATACTCGATGCTTTGAAGCCTAAGCGGATTCGAAACATTTCGAAACCATGAAAAATCAAAAATCGATTGAAATATGCTGAAATCATGTAACACTGTAACACGTTCAAGCGCCACGTCAAGCCTTGCGTAGTAACGAAACAAAACGTGGAAAATCACCCAACCTTCGCGCTTCTGCCAATATTTGCTAGGTTCTGGCCCTGGTTGTTTGTCTCCCTTCGCCTGCAGGCAAGTCGCTCCACAGCTGTCTCCAATTGTGCCACCTTCAAGTACAGGAACTCCTAAGTGCAAATTCTTAAGCCACGGCCAAATGGAACTTATATGAACTGATGGAACCTTGCATCATGCCTTGCATCCCCTGACCCAATTGACACCATCTTCACCAAGGAACCAAGCTTTGCGACAACTTTCCAAGACCCGTGCGGTTCTGTGGGTCTGTATAGTTGCCTCCGCATTGTCTTTTGCATTCTGGCGCTAAAATAAATTAAAAGAAACAAAAAACCTTGTCAATTCCACTGGTCCAGAATAGAAACCGACACGAAACACATGTTTTTAAAGTTTTAGAATGGTTTCAAAACGAAATATGATGAAATGCGTCCACTGCCGCCATTCATGCTGGATACAAGTGATGGCAAACATCAATGTCACGACTGTCCGCGCCCGCCTTCTGGATTGGGGACTGTGTTAGTTTGATTCACATCAGCAACCATCACATTGGTCACCTGGACAGAGACGCAAACCATGAAAATACGGTTGCGCTTGCATGTCGGAAAGTAACCAAATGTATTCAGAAACTGGAAAATTGTATATACATGAACTACCCCCTACACAAACCCTAAAAAAAAATATCCAAAAGAAATTGCAAAACTTGCCAAATCTTAAGCAAGTTCTGAATACAACAAGAAGTCCGCCCACACCGCTTTGGCGGTGAAGGCGTGCTTATTGGGGGGAAACAGCTACACTAAATGCTCAATCACATTTGTTAATATAGCAGTCGCTATATCAGCTTTAGCTGGGGGGGGCCAAAAACGGTTTCGCACCGAGACCAGAATTAGGTGGTGTTTTCGACATTTTTCGAGGATTTTTGGGTGTCTGAGCGCAAGAGGGTATTGAAATGGAATTTTGGGTCATTTTGGTAGCTTTCCGGCAATGGAAAAACGGCCAAAAATGAAAAAAACATTGTACATAGCAAGATTTTGCAGGGTTTTTGGATGCCAGAGCATTGAAAACACTGCAAAACAAGTGTTTTGGACTGACGTTATAGCAAAAAACGTGTAAATTACCGTATGCTTGACTGGAAACATTACAAAAACACTGTCAAAAGCAATGTTTTGGAAGGATTTACTGCCTTTATGGCAAAAAACGTGTAAATTACCGTCTGTTTGACTGGAAACATTGGAAAAACACTGTCAAAAACAATGTTTTGGAAGGATTTCTTATATATATGTTGGAGTTGGCTACCGGCATTGGAACATGGAAAAATTGAAGAAAACACTGTAAATAGCGGTATTTTCAACGGTTGGGGAGATAAGGGAATTGGAAGCATTGTCGAACATGATGTTTTCGACCGGTTTTATGGCGACAAAAGTGTAAAGTACCGTGCTTTGAAGGAAACCATTGCAAAAACATGGAAACACATTCAAAGAACACAGGATTTGGGGGACTATCTAGGCGTCGTTGTCTAGCTATTTGAAATTCCGCAGCTTGGAGAGCCTCCAAGGGAGGGAAAAGTGAGTGAAAATTCCCTAGCTTAGAAAGCCCCCACGGGGGGGGGAAAGTGAAAATTCTTAGCTTGGGAAGCCCCCACGGGGGAAAAGTGAAAATTCCGTCGCTTGGGAAGCCCCCACGGGGGGAAAAGCGAAAATTCCCTAGCTTGGGAAGCCTCCACGGGGGGGAAAAGTGAAAATTCTCGCCTGGGAAGCCTCTACGGGGGGGAAAAGTGAAAATTGCTTAGCTTGGGAAGCCCCAATTGGAAGCATTGTCGAACATGATGTTTTCGACCGGTTTTATGGCGACAAAAGTGTAAAGTACCGTGCTTTGAAGGAAACCATTGCAAAAACATGGAAACACATTCAAAGAACACGGGGTTTGGGGGACTATCTAGGCGTCGTTGTCTAGCTATTTGAAATTCCGCAGCTTGGAGAGCCTCCAAGGGAGGGAAAAGTTAAAATTCCATAGCTTGGGAAGCCCCCACGGGGGGGGAAAGTGAAAATTCACTAGCTTGGGGAGCCCCCACGGGGGGGGTGAGGTAGCTATCCCTCTATTAGGGGAGCCCTGGATTACTATTTACAACACCTGTGTCAAGCAGTGAGCGGCGGACACTTTTCTATGCGGCGGAATTGCTGCTAGTCTTGAGCCATGCGGAGTGCGCATGAAAGATATGAATTAGGTGTACATGTCAACATGCATGAAAGCATTGTGTAGACACGTAAAACAAAATAAATCACAAACAGACACAAATTTTCTTCGTGTCGGAACATGCAAGTCTGTTTCGCAGGTAGCGCTCAGCCTGTGATCTGCTGTGAGACGGTCCGAAGACAAAAACAAAACTGTACAAAAAGCTACTCTCCGCTGTTGGAAAGCGGTGTTCTCTGCTGATGGTAAGCGACCGCAAATGCGGAACATTGCAATTTTTCTGGGGCTACAAGCCCATAGTAAAATAGTAACCGTAGAAACTCAACTCGTTTTGCCTACGGTGTTCTCCTGTCTGATGAAAGATAATAGACTGATCCGGTGTTTGAGGGATCATGTCAAGCCACGATCCGTCGTCCCAACGCTGTCTAGGTACTTGGTACCCTGGGACGTATTCTACTTGAGTGGTATTGGGATTCACTCTATAGTACGACGGCTGATCATAGCTGTAACCGTAATTACGGTGTCCGGAAGAGCTGGAAGCTGTTCCTTGGTCAAGCCATTGCGAACCCGACATTCGGGATGGAGGCGCAGGAGGCTCGGGTACGTTGATTGGCCTTTTTCTGGTTGTTTGCCTCTGCTCGGCCTGCTGTGATCTCTCTCTCTCTCTCTCCACGGCGGTGGAGTCTTCGGTGGTCCTGGTGGATCAGGTGGCGTTCTTGGCTGCTGTGAACCTAGTGTTCGTCCGGGAACCGGAACTGGAGGAGCCTTTACAGGTGGCCTAGCACTAGAGGAAGATCCTGATGACGTCGGAGCTGGTGATTCTTTTAAAGATCTCGGTGCAGCTTTATATTGCACTGGTTGCACTGGTCTGGCCTTTGCTGCTGGACCTCGCACAGGTGCCGGAGGCGGTGCTGGTGTTTCAGCTCTGGGTCGATGTGTTCTGGTCCTGCTGACCGATCGACTTCGAGTGCGTCCAACATTTCGGTGTGAGTCAGTCCGCAGTGGCGGAACACTATCTCTCCTTTCTTCTCGTTTTTCGAGATATCCTTGAGTTCGCTGCATCCATTTTTCACGTCTTTTATCTTCAGATTCCTTGGATCGGATGCGCATATTTTTCAGTGCCTTCAATTGGGCGTAGGCAAGGAGAGGTGAGTGCCATGCACAGTCCTTTTCTGCCAAACCAAGGTCATATGCCATCAAATGTTTTAGCTGTTCAACATCGTTCAGCATAACTTCGTCGGAAAAGGCAGATCCTGCAAATCCATCTGCAGAGGCTGATTCTTCTTTTGCACGTGCTTCCGTGACAGCGATCTGCTTACCGTAACAAAGAGAAATTAAAAGCATTGAATCACAATCAGCATCATCTCCACGCATGCTTCGGATGTAATTGGCTGCAGTGGTCGAAGAAATTACGTTATACGTAATACGGTTTATCGGACTGCGGTGAAGATTAATCTGCTGAAGGAAACGCTCCAAGATGTCGATCAGGATGCATGTCCGGTAATCGGAATGATCATCCGCTTTAAAGCTTCGCTGTGCGAAAAGATTTCCGTCGCCGGACAAAAAGTCACACTGATGTTCGATACAGCTTGCGACGAATTGGAGCCATTTCTGGCACGTTTCTTTATAGGCACTACTCCATGCATATGAGGAGATATGAAAAACCGCTATACGGCATTCAGCTAACATGAGACGTCGGACGTCATGAGTGTCAGCTCCAAGATTCACTTCACAAGCTTCCACGCCGGAGACGGCAAGGTCATCGTCTCCGTCGATCTCGCAGATCGAGTGATCAAGAAAATCGAGTGAGGATGCAAGTGGGCGATCATGCTGCCAAACCGTAGATTCGGCATTTTTCTCGATGTCCGGTTTCGGAACACGAGCGCCAGAAGAAGGATCAACAAATTCTCCTGACGTGTTCATGCCATGGCAAAGGCGAAAAATGGCGCCATGCAAAATCCAAAAAGGTGCTTCTTTGGTGGAGGTTTCAATTTGGTGTTGACACAAAAGTTCAATAAATGAGCCTGCATCATGTGAGCCACGGAGAAAAATTGCAAGGGATTGTGACTGGATGTGCGGGTGCACTACCATGCCAATCATCCCATACTCTTCGGCAAGCTCTCGATGGACGGCAATTCCTCCGTACTCGTCGGAAGCCTCGCACAAGCACACAATATGGGCCGCATTACGGAACACTAAATGTGGCAATGCACGGTGGTTGATATCAGTTCGTACCCATTTTGGAAATTTGGCGCAACCTCCGATATACGGAATACGGTTGATGTGACCAAGGTTCAACGTCAAAATACCAAGCTGATACGTGTCCTTCTGAAACTCATGGATGTTGTCCTTAGTGCGCTTGGTAACACCAAGGATTGCTCTCTTACCGAGAAGGCACGATCTGAAGAGCTCCAATAAACGGAGAATCTCCTCTGACGTAAGGTCACCGCCATCAGGGTACTTGAAGAAAGCCTCAGGTCGCCAGATCGGAAGTGGCGTCTGGTCCTGGGCATCAACAAAGTGCTCCTGGAGAGTCGGAATTCGACATCCAAATGGCATTTCATAAATGAATTCTGTATAATCAAAATCTTCAATTCCATGACGAGCAAAAGATTGAAGGTAAGTGTTTCCAATTGAGCGGCCCTCACGCAGATGCGTGATCAGTTCCGAGAATTTTTCTTGGCGATTTTGAGCATGCTCTCGGCGTGTGGCTCCGAAATACGAAGATTCAGCAAGAACAGCGTCAACCAGGTCTTCGATGTCGAAAGGCGAATTGGATGAGCCGATGCTGTCTGGAATAAAATCGGAGGACAACTCAGAAGAAAAATTAACAATATTATGTTTGCAAGATAAGCCGCAGGTGCGGCATTCCAAGCAGTAGGCAAAGCCACAAGGGTGGCACCAGAACACTGCCTCGGAATTTCCACAGTCTTCAAAATTCTTACAGCATTGAGGACCCGCAGGGCGAGGAAACCATTGAATTTCATCTGTATCCTTTTTAAACTTGGTGAAAAACTTTTGGGCTGCGTCCGCATCGCGGAACAAATCCTTTGCCTGGGCGTTCATCTCGCGGCGTCTTTTTGTCTTTACAACCTGTCGGCGGCCGCCCCAGGGAGATGCGGCATGCAGATCAACTTCAGTGTCAGGGTCAATGTTGCCGGATGCTGGATCGGAGCTAGCCGCAGCGGCGGCATCCTTCGGTTTCCTTGGCATAGGCTTGGCCTTAACAGGTCCCTTGGGAGCTTCACTCTCCGAGGCGGAAGACTGCTCCTTGTTTCGCTCCTTGGCGAGATGTTTCTTAAATCGCTCGGAAATTTCTGCCTTGAGTGTTTTTACTCTCTTGTCTGCCTCGGTCTCAGGTGGGCCAA